GGAGCAGGAGAGGTGAGCATTCCCAGCATGGGGGCCAGCAGTGCTGGCCCCCAAACCACACAGCCACGCAGGCAAACCCCATCTGCTCAGGGGCTATGTGGGCCCCCAGACCCAGGAGCCACCAGCACTGCTCATCCCCCTGCCCTGGGGTAACCAGGTACCCCAAGGGGACCTGTTGGTGCCCATGTATCTGCATGGGGCTCCAGCCCAACACTTGATCCCCAAATCTCCGCTCTGCCCAGGGTTTTGCTGCCCTTCCCTGCCCGGTCACCTCCCCTCACCCTGTCCTAAAACACTCACCCTGTGCAGCCACCCAGATGCCAGGACAGCCCAGACCCGAAACAAACCCACCAGCAACCATCCCAGTAACAGGGAAGTCGCTTACTGGTCTTACTGGGGCAGTCGCCGGGACAGCATTTCTACGTCCCATGGCTGAGCATGGGGAGCCTGTGGGGTCGGAGGTGTTCCTCCCAGGGCTGGGGGCTTCACTATCCCCAGGACTCCCCACCACCATACCGCAAGTGAGCAGCCACAGAGACCCCCCCAGCCCCTTTACCTGGGTCGTGGTGCAGCGGGTGGTCAGAGGGGCAGCATCTGCACTGTGACAGTGCCGGAGGGAGCAGCCTCTTCTATCCCGGGTGTAACGGAGCTGGATTAGTGCGGGCAGAGGAGGATCCTTTACAGCAGCAGGAGCCGTCCCGCTTCGCCTTTCCCAGCACCTGTTGCTGCTGGAGCCCGTTCAAAGGACACGCCACTCTCGCCTGTCCCTCGTGGGCTGGGGACACACAGACACAGGGCAGGGGATGGGGACGGACCTCCCTCCTACCTCAGCACAGCACCACAGGGAGGGCTGGCACTGGACACAGTGGTAGCCCAAAACCATCCCGTGAGCGTGGCCTGGGCAATCTGGACAGGGGCAAAGGTGGCCAAGGTCTTCCAAGGTGCTCACAGGTTAGCACAAGGCAGCCACTGGCCAACCTATGGGGATGGTAACCGCAAGCAGCTGGTGATGGTGCTGGTCCTCTGTGCTCACCTTGCCTGCAGCACCTCTCAGGAGGATGTGACCCTGGCCAGACAGGGGAAGGGACAGTGCTGCTGCTCCACATTGCCAAATCCCAGCTCCCAGTGAGCCAGCAGCGTCTGTGAACCATGGGCTGGGATCAGGCTTTGCCAGAGGAGCTGTGGTTCACATGTGGCATTTAGAGTGACACAAGTCAGGATGGAGTCATGACTGTCCCCACGTCCCAAAGGTGCTGCTGTCCCATCTGTCCCTGCCCTGGCCTCAGGCACCCACCATTGCCACCTTGATACAAGAGCAACACTTGCTCAGGGGGATGCAGCCAGAGGCTCCTGAGCAGACATGGTGCTCTCCCGGTCCAGCCTTCACAGCTTGGATTTGTTGCTTTACTGAGCCCAGCTCCTTTCCCAAAATCCAGGACAGGACCTGGAATGTGACGAGGACTAGCAGGGATGATGCAGGAGCAGGCGCACAGCTCCAACCCACAGTCCTGATGCAGTCGTGTACATGCAGAGGTTGAAGCATCACCACACCCACAGCTCTCGGGGGCTGTGACACCCACACTGCCCATTCCCGTGGTGAACATGAGTCCCCCCACCTCAGCCTCCACAGAGCACACTGTCGGGAATAACTGTGCTTGGGCAGCAGGGACTCTGCCCACCGACTGTCATCGCCAAAGTACAGTTTGGAATTGCCCTCCTCCGGCCGAGGGCTGCCAGACACCTGGTGGCCACCAGTGTCACTTCAGGCACGTACTGCCACCACCCCGCCAGCCTTCGGCTCTGCACCCTCCCGGCAAACCCCGTGTGGAAGGAGCACATCCCCACAGCCGCTCCACAGGCACAGGGCAGGAGTCCAAGTGCCACAGCCGTGCCCCACAGCTCCCTCGAGCTGTTGATGCAGTGAACGCCGGGATAAAAAACCTCTCCAAGGAGAGGAGCACCCACCTGGACACCAGCCAGCCTTCCCAGGATGCTTGCAATCTTACAAGCTCCCAGGGAGCAAGGTTGGTGTCTGGTGAGGAAACCTAGGGACAAGTTGAGGAAGCAAAGCCCTGGGAGCAGGCACTGGTGGCCATGGAAATGGTTCTCCAAAGGTCATTGGTGACCAGGTTTGGCATTATTACAGTCAAAATTCGTTTGTGGGCAGAGGGAAATAAGCTGAAATCAGACCCCTCAGCAGAAGGAAGTGTAGAATTGAAGAGTAGGAGGTGTTACACCCCAGGATTTTGGATGCCTTGGTCCAAAATCCCACACCCCAGGGAGTGGCACAATGATCTGTCTCTCTGCAAACCAGTCACCACCCAGGGTTCCCAGCCTGGGCTTGGCTTTTTTTTTTTTTTTCTCTCCTTCCCATTCAGGAATTTAAGCCAGAGCCTACATTGGCTGCAGCTGGAAAACAGCCTGTCCTGGAGATATCTGGCAGTGCCTCAAGCACGCTGTTCCTTAGCGACGCCGTTGTCACAACTGCAGCAGCACACTTTAACCTTTATGCTTTCCACAGGAAGGGAGGCTCTGAGGGGCCAAAGCCAGCCTGTTCCCTGGGAAACCCTACACCCCAGCTAAATCGAGCAGCAGGGTAGGCTGAACAACATCCCCACCTGAATCCCATCCATGCCACTGTAACACAAACCAGTCAGGCTGTCCGGCCTGGCGGGCACAGCTTAACTGCTTCCATCAGCACCCAGGGCTTCCACAACGCGCTGCCAGCGTGCCATGACAGGTGCCATCAAGGTGACGGGGAAAGACAAGGAAAAATCTCATCAGCAGCAGAAGGGCACCCGGAGCTAGGCAGCACCTTGAGGACAGGAATGCAGCTGCTGGTGGCAGCACCAGGGAACACCAGTGCAGGCTTGAAGCACCAGGACATACCCACATGCGGAGGGTCCTCGCCCCGCTAGCAGCCAACAAGCTTTCCTAGTGGAGAGGGAAAGGAAGGGAAGGGAGAAGCAAAGCTGTGATTTGAGAGCATCATCAAGCCTTTTCATAAAAACTTTATTCACTAGATAATCAGATCTTGCAGTTCAACATAAAAGTCCAGGAAAACATTGCCTTTTAGTTACAGCTCTAGTCTGAGTTCAGCAAATTACTTTGATAAGAAATTATTTTGGGTACAGCTCAACCAGAAATGCATCAGAGGAAGATTTTGTATCCAGTTCTCCTCCCCTCCCCTCCTCCCACTCCTTGCTCTCAAGGAAGGTGCATAAAGGTGATGGGTTTTGAGTTCTGGAATACAAAAATGCTTTTGCAAAATCCATGCAGAGAGAATATAGATTTTACATCAGTTTCTCAATCTACCCCAACTCTAAAGGTAGGTGCTGGAACAGTACTCAGTCAAATCTTGCTCCAGTCTTGTCTCTTGCTCCAGTCCTGTAACTTTATTCTCCCTGACACTGCCCCCATTTCCCTGATGAAGCCTTGACCAAACCCCATCCTCTCCAACATCCAGCTCCTCCAGGACACCCATCTCTTACACACTTTCTACACTAGAGCACTTCTTTCACCATGTCAACACCTCCCTCCTAATTAAGGGGGCAGGTCCCACCCATCGGCCTGTGGGAACGTGGTGGGTGACTCCAGCTCAGCCCAACACCCCAGATCCTTGCAGGCACAGCTGTCTGAGGTTCCTTCCACTCTTTGTAGTGCCTGGGGAATACAAGAGGCTGTGTCTAGGGGAAGATGTAATGTCTTTTATTAGACCCAAATGATACCGTTGGGGGAAAAAACTGCTAAGCTGTCAGGCACACAATGCCTTCCTCAGGGCAGGAGCAGAGGCCATATAGGGCCATCAGGGAAATCCAGCTGGTCCATCCTTCAGGGATCATTAGCTGCTCCAGCTCCATAGCCTCATTATCCTGTTTGCCTTTACATTCTTCAGCAGCTCATCATCATTCCAGCTTTCTCCTGACTCATCATAAATATTTTCTGCTCCTGCTGCCCACACGCTGCCGGCTCCAGAGCTGGCACTCGAGGAAGCGGCAAGAATTCCCTGACTGCACATCTGAAGTTCAGCCATGCCCCTGTCCAGTAGATTGCAGGGAACAGTTCCACTGCAACAGAAATGGGGTTAAGGCAGACTGGCCAGATCCACACCGATCCTAGTTTTCAAGAAGAGGATGCTGACACATCCCTCTTGCTCCAGTCACTCCTGTAAATTGTCACAGCAGCAGTGACAGGAGCTGTTCTGGCCGTCCTGTTACCCTGAGCTCAGCAACATGGGGCTACCAGCAAAGTCAGAAACATATGGCTGAAGGCATCTTGGGTGACTGGGTCAACCCTTTCAGGTGCAGTTCTGCCACACCTACACAAAAATCCTCAAGGGAAGGAAAAGTGTAACTTGAGCAAAAAGGAGCCAGAGCTGAGTTCACTATTTCCAAGAGGCCACACTGCTCCAGAGTCATTCACCTTCAGTACCAACACATTTCCTCAGCCCTCTGGTTCTCCAGAGTTCCTTAGTTACTAACTGCAAAAAACCTTTAATTTTTTTAAGAACCCTTATATTTCAGCAGGGGGGTCTTTTTCTCTTTTAATCCAAGCAGAGAAGTTTGAGGCTGGTGCTCTTTGAAACACTCCCATAGAGACTCCAGCTGTTCTGCCATGGTATCCCTTCAGCATCACACTTTTTAGAATTCCTGCAGAAACATAATCCCTCAGGTACAATAAATGTTCATCTTGGAATTTACCTCTCTGAGGAATTTCTCCCTCTGTTACCTCCCCCAGTTTAGGAGTAAAACAGCAATTGCTTGATGTTCTTTGGCAAGGATGAGATGGCACCTCTAACCATCCCCTCAGCTGGAGTCTGACACCTCAAGTTTGAGCTCCTTCTCTTCTCCACCCAAAAATCTGAATAAAAGGCCACACTCTAAGAATACTTCTCCAATAGTATCTGAATTCAGAGGAAATGAAAGCAAGTGTTTGCCATAACCCCCAAACAAGAAAGTTTGTCCTACCTGGACATATTAATTCTAAGTTTTCCTTTTTTCCTCTGTTCTGAACAGCACAACAGCAGCAGGCAGTCCTGCTCACGTGTATACCAGCAAGATACAAAAAATCAGGTAAGAAATCAGAGCACAATACCAAGGTAAGAAATAATTATTAAATTTTTAATCTAAATGTGACTTCACAATGCTGGCAGTTTTGTTCTCCGGCACATTTGAGCACTTGGGCTGTATTTAACTCTGCTTGCTGCCCAGACTGGCCAGAGACACTCATGTCTCTGTAGCCAAGAGACCTGCACTGGCAGGAGCTGGGGCAGCAGCTCACAGCAAGTCATTTGTCAGTTAAATGGTTCCCCAAATAGAAGGGCTTCAGCTATAAAAAAGCAAGAAGTTTTAATGCTCTAATGTACACAGAGAATTACTTTAAAGCATGAGCAAGATTTATATTGTTCATCTAAACATCATGAGAAAGGTCTGACCCACACTGCGCTGGCTTGCAGGAGCCTCACATTATTTAAACACAATTCAAGCTTAATACAGATTAAAAAGCTAAAAATCAGAAACTTGAAAACAACACTTAGTGTACAAAGACAAGGCAGCTCTGCCAGATGCACACATCTGTACAGTCAGCCTTTATCAAAAACTCTTCTGCAAGAAAGGGCCTCAGCCCACTAGCCAGAGACAGCAATCATATTAGGAAACTTTATTTAGTTAGGTGGGATGCCACGGGCTCAAGTGGAGTTAAACTATTCAGTACAAAGGAACCAAGGGTAGGAGGTCAGGCAGAGTCACGGAAAAACAACTGTTCCCTCTCTTCTACCAAGGGAGTAGAGAGGGATGGGATCTCCCTCCTAATATCATGTGGGTGCTCATCAGCACCGGAATCTATCTGAGAAGTTGGGAGACTTTGGCCAAGTCAGTAACTGATCACTGGGCTTCACTTCTATGCCACGGTATTTGCGTATTGGGTTTGCCTTGTGAACCTGTAAAAAAATAAATATAATCAAGGACACAATGAAGCAAATAGTTGCAGTTATGATGAAGCTAAAACTTGCAGGTGAGCCATGGGTGGGATGAAGGCAGGTGTCTGAGATCAACACACTGCCCCAGGCACTGGAGATAGGTACTGGGAACACACACAGCACACGTTGGGGTTGTGGGTTTTACAAAGATCATTCTGCTCTGATAGCTACACATGTACAGCTCCAAAACTCAGCCACTCAGCAGAGCTGCCTTCTTTGTTTGGGTCATTTTGCAGGTTTGGGTTTTTGTTTTTAAAGCAGTTTTAAAGTTAATGAGGAATTAGTTTGCAACAGGGAACCTTGAAAAGACAATCTTAATGCAGCTCAGCAGTGACATGAGCTCCTTGAGGATATTCCCACATTCCTTCGGGTTGCTTTACAGCCCTTGCTCAGAAACAGCTCACTTACCATTTCTTGCCTTAGCTTAGCAACTTCTTCCTTTTCACGCTCCTCTTGTTCCTGCCTGATCTGCTCCTGATACCTCTCCCTTACAGCTTCTGCGTCTGCCAATCGCTTTTCAAATTCTTGCCGTTCTTTTGCTCTTCTTTCCGTTGCCAGCTCAAAGCTTTCAGGAACTACAGAACCAGAAAGGCTCTCTAAGTTAGAAACAGAGGAGACAACATTGGTTCAAAGACAGTCAGGTAAAGCAGAGAGGTACTAGTGTCAGTGGAAGCCTCCCTTTGGAGAGCTTCCCCTTGGCAAGGGTGGTTAGGAGATACCTCCAGGCTTCAGGAAAAGAGAAAACCTTGCTCCCAGACGTGAGCAGTGTTAATGCAGACGTCACCCCGCCACGGGTGTTCTCATGGGAGGGAGCAAGCACACAATTGTTAGTACAAACAAGTTTTTGGTTTGGTCTTATGCTCTACAAAGCTCAGTCTACCCAAGCAGTAGATGCCTTCATCTCATTAGAAATGGGAGGAAAAGAGTGACAGCTCCGCAGAAATGCCAGCTGTCTCTGCAGGGAGCTCCTCACATTCTCTGTACCCTTATCCTGAGCTGGCAGACATCAATCATCTGCCAATTGCAGCAGAGCTGCTAAATACAGCTGCCATGCTGGAGCAGGATGGAGGGGGGGAGAGGAAACCCGCTTGCTCCCAGGGGACACAAGCTGCTAGGCAATTAGTTGATTAAATGCAAGGCACTATTGGCTGTGCTGATGAAGAAGAGGCAACAGCCAGAAAAAACACCACTTAATTGCATCAGTTCTGAGCTACCTGCCAAGCCCGTGTAGCAAGTACTTGTAACTCCACCTGATAGTAGTTTGTGTTCCTTTTTGGGCACGAAAGGCTCCTGGTACACCACTGTGTTGGGACGAGCTTTAAAACATGCTGCCTCTTTCTGCTTTTTCAAGTCTTCTTCGAGCTGCAGGAGAAGAAAGCACAGGCATAAAGAGACCATCACCCCCTGACACAGACTCCAGCCCTCCCAACACTGAAAGAGCCAGGTTGACTTAGTCAAATCATTTCCATAGAAAATCATATTAAAGCCAGAAAGATGTGTCACTTGTTGCCTGACAGTAACTTTGCCAAAAATAGCTTGAAGAAAGTTTCAGGTGTCCCTTGCAGAGTTCACACGAGAAAAGCAGTATATTATTTATGTGTCAATAAATCCCCAAGCAGAGAGATGGTCAGCAAAGGGATCCAGCTGCACAGAATTGCTGCTTAGAAATCACCCCACGGCTGTTCATGCAGTTGTGGTAAATCCAGTGATTTACCATAAAGTGAGAAAAATAAAAAACCCCAATCCACCAATCTTTAATCCACAGCTCAACTCTTGTGCCAAGGACAGAATAATTCATTGCTCAAACTCAGCTCCTGATACAACTCAAGCAGAACACTTTTCAGAGTTGACCACAACTCCATCAGCTGCTTTAAATCCAGTCTTTTCCATTATACTTTTTATCCTACCTGATGTTTCCAGTTCTCGAGCTTGGCAGCTCCCCGTTCATCCACCTGCAGATGGAATGGTTCAGGCTGGGTTGGGGCTTTGACCTTCTTTTCTGGCAGTTTAACTTGGTCAAAGTAAGGCAGAGGCTGTGCTTTGAACTTCGGCACCTGAAACAAACAACTTGAAATATTTCTCATCCTTTCCTTGGATGTCTAACAGACAACAGCAAGAGGCAGATCCTGCCACACTCCTTTTACTGAAGGAGTGGAATCCAAGGCAGCTTTAGTTCTTACCTCTTCCTTCTGAAATTCTTCTATTTTTTTCTCTTTTTGCATTTGCCGTTCTTTGTCCCGGGCATCAAAAGAGAAGGGGCAAACTTCCACGTGCCTCTGCTCTGGCATTTTGGGTTTGAAGGGCACTCCGTAATGTGGCATAGGGTTAGCTTTGATCACAGGCACCACCTCCTTTTCCTAAAGGGATATCAGTGTTAGGATCTGATTTTTTATTTTTGTAGAGACCACAACTCCTGCCAAACAAAGCCATGAGGAGCTTTGAATGAGCTCCTTTAATAAGGGGAACAGCAGGGCCAAGCAAACACTGGACACTGTAAAAATTAGCAATCCAAGAAGTGCCTATTTACTGGCATCCTGACCCACAGGCCAGTTCTTCCTCTTTCTAAACCACTCTCATTTCTAGTACTCATCCAAATTAGACTTTAATGTCCTCTTCACAAGAGGGAAAGGACGAAGCACATGATGCATTCAGAATCCTGCTCCCCCACCTTGGGGAGAAGAGTCATGTGCAATATTTGCCCTCCATGACAGAATAGGGTAGGGCAATGTCCTGAGAAATCTAAGCAGTTCACTTTCCTCCTTCACAGCAGCAACATTTCAGAAACCCCCATTAGTGCCCTGGTGTTTAAATTTCACTTTGTGTGAGAATTCAGCTTCTGTAAAATGAGTAACAGTAACTCAAAATTGCTTGAAGAGAATGGCACAGACAAAGGTGACCAGTGGAGGAACTGCTCACAGGAGGGCAGAGGCTCCCCAGCCCAGAGCATCCCACTCACAGCCAGAAGCACTGTGGTGGGACCTGGGCCTGGCTCCAGCCTAGTCACAACTGTTACCTTTTCTTCCTCTCTGCCAGACACGCGGGTTCTGCTTTTCAAGGCGAAGGCTGGAGACTTGGGGACCGTACAAGGAAGTTCTTTCTTCTCCGGAACACCCTGTTCAGAAGAGCCAGTAAGGAGTTACCCAAGGCTGAGTGCCAGGAAAACATAAGACAGAGCACAGGACGTACCTGTTGCAGTTCTTACCTAATGGCAGACACTGTTTACTGAAGATTATCAAAATACATAATGCAACACAGCTACAGGCATTCTGAAGCTAATTGCCACCTCAGTCCTAATTCCCAGGTCTGGGTATTACCAAACTTCTTACCACAACATCCTCCAGGATTTTTGTGGGACACGGCCTGGAATGGAATTCGAAGCGCTCTTCCTCCTGCCGCTTCTTACTCTCACGCTCCTGAATCCTTTTTTCTGTTTCCAACTCGAAGCCGATGGGTTGTGTGACGTTCCTCACACGGGGTTTCTTGGGCAGGAGTGGCCCACCCTCGAAGATTTTGTAATTGAGTTCTCGCGCTTTGAATTTGTACCTACACAGCAGAGATGGAGGCAGTCACCTATACACTGCACATTACTGTGCAGCCCTAGTTAGCAACTCTTCCTTTGCTTTTGAAACAGCAAGATTAATAAGGAAAACATTATGAATTGCCTTCCTAAAAACACAAACCTTTGGCCACCAGGAGAGTTTTGAAGCGCATGCAGGGTGTATACTGCTATACTGGGTTTGCTTTACTCATCATAAGCTGTACTGAACTCAAGATCAGCTCTCCTAAGAGCACTTTCTTCAAAATGAATTGGCTACTTTTCACTTTCCTACAATCAGAGCCATAGAATCATGCACAAGCTAAAGGAATATCAATGGTTTTATGCTACTTCATTCTTTTACACAAAGAGGGTATTCCTGAGAAGCAATATTTTGGTATCTGAAAGATATTTCCAGTGTGGTACATTCCTCCCTTGGAGGACTAGAGTAAACATTTACTTACTGTTGAATTCTCTCTACTTCCTCTGCTTCTAACTCTGCTGCAGTTTTGCAGGTGACAGGTCTCGAGCGCTGCTTTGTTCGGAGCACTGGTGTTTTGGCACAGGTGTGATGAGGCTTCACAGACTTTCCTGAAACTTGGCCTGTAAATCCAAGTCAGAGACCAGCAGTTAATGGCAAGGCTTACAACAGACACAGACTGCTTGCTCAGAGCAGTCAAAGCATCTCTGTTGTTCTACCACCATCTCTGTGGACACAGGCAGGACCACTCACCTTCTTCCTCAGGTTTCCTGCTCCTCAAATGGTAACGAGAGGGTGTGCGTTTTTGGAATGCTTCTACCTGCTCAGCAAAGGACACGTATTCTGATGTGGTTTCAAGTTTTCTTTTGTTTCCCTGGGACAGGTTGAAAGGTTTGGGGACAGTGGGTCCCTTTGGCACTCGCATCTGGAGACAGAAAACCACAGTCAGTACAGCCATGGCCAAGAGGCTTCAACAACATTTCCTTCCCCTCACTGAAAAGAAGGTAACACTTTAACATTAAGCATATGTGTTAATACTCTGAACACACACAAGTCATACTGGGAAACTGTTCAAAGCAGAAGATTAAAGCATGGAGTGGAATGACTGGAAGATCTGACATTAAAGAGCTCCTTTTTCCACAAGGTTTCTTTGGAGTCTTGTGGCAACGAGACACACGGCGAGTTCTCAGGTTTGCACAACACCTGCCCCTCCTGAGGTAACCCCTCTATGGGTCACCAGCATGGGTGTTGCACAAGCAGCAAGGAGGTGATGTCAAGAATCAGTCAGCCAAGTGCTGGCAACACTCTGGCTCTCACCGGAGAAGGGGGATGCTTCCTGAGTACTGCTGCAAAATCCAGCTCCTTGTACTCATTCTCAGGCTGGCTTCCCACATTCTGTTTAATCCTATTGTCTGTGCAGAAGTGGAAATCAATTGGCTTTGTTACTTGTCCAACGGGTCTCTTCATGGGTTGTCCTAAAGAAAAAGAACACTTAAGAACTGGAAGCCTTTTGGAGTGGGGTGGGGATGTAGGATTTGTGGGGTAAAAAAAAAAAAAAAAAGGCATTTAATATCTAATAACTAGACAAAGTTTTAGAAAACTCATCTTTAACCCTTCAAAACACGACAAAACCCAAACACTTTTTTCCAGGCAGTTTAGGGGTTGATCTACATTAAAAACCTCCTAATATTTATCACAAAGTCTGGCATGTTTGTTTCCAGAGGTACTTGCACAGCTCTGTGCAGCACTCTCCAGTTGAGACCAGTACAGTTTCAATCTGCAATCCAGGCAGAGCCCACCTGCTCCAGCAATAGCTGCTTTCAGAGACTCCTCGTTCTTCTTCCGCAGCTCCATAACCTCCTGCTGCAACTGCTGCATCTTTTCAAGTTCCTGCTCCTCTGTACTCTTCAGCTTGCTAGAAGGTTTGGTCCTCCTGCAGAAGCACATTAAAGGCTGAGATCTTCCTTCCTGCTTCCCTGGTTATTAGCATGTTAGTGCAAGGAACATGCTTATTTCTGACCTCACTGCAGGAGCATTCCTTGTTATAAAATCATACTCTTCAGAAGATCTGCTTGGATTTTGTTTGCTCAAGAAATCTCACACCTAGCTGCTATTCTGCAGAGCCATTTGCTGTGTGCATGCTCAATCCACCAGCAAGAACAACTTGTTCCTCAAAAGAAAAGCAAAAGCTTTCCAGTGCACAGGTTCAGCTGGTGAAGTACATTTCATCCTAATATTGTTGCCTTAACCTAGTGTTTACTAAATGTGATACCATCACATGCTAAGTTGAAGCTGGAAACACTCAGCCAGGACTGTCACCTAAATCAACCATGATTAGCAGACAAGTCACAAGAAAGCCACGTACTTCAACATTGTTGGCGTGGAGGGCATGGGTGGTTTGCTTTTCTCTCTCTCTGGGGACAGGTCAGGATCCTGTGAGGGCTCTGCCTTTGTGGATTCTTCTGTCTCCTTTCTGCTGCCAGAACTAAGAAAACAACTTGTTAGAGCAAACCACTCCAATTAACTGTGTTCTAAATGAAAGATCACCTGCAGTTCTCACCGCCATGTATAACATCCCAACACCTGGTGAGGTCTAAGGTATGCCAGGCTGGCCTTACCTCACCATAGGCCCAGGCAGACTGTCCAGTTTTCCCTGGTATCTAAGGCTGCAGAAGGGAAGATGAATTACTGAGTTTTTGGAACTTTTCTAGAGGAAGGAGTACTGTACTGTGCTACAGCAGCATTTCAAAGATCACACTTCAATTTCCTGACCTCAAGCTTATCACCATATGATACTTAGTGGTTAAGCTAATTTGAGAAATATTTGAGCTGTGACTCTTTCATAACTTATGACTAACTGCCTGATGACTTCCTGATGGATAAGTTAAGACAAATTTAAAACTAACTGACTGACACTGAGTAAGGAGTAAGAAGATGAAGAAACCCACGCTCATTTCATTCACATCTCTACTTCCAAACAGAGCAATTCCTTCAGCTCTTACAGCCATTTCTTGTTTATGAAACCAGTATCAGGAATCAGTTCCAGTCATCACCCCCTAACCTTTGTGCGAGAACCCTCTCAGCCAACTGGAAATCCTTTCCAAAGGAACAGTTGTATCCCCCTTCCCAGCCTCAAATAGAAGAACTTTGATGACATACATTCTCATTTTCTTCAGAGGTGGAACCTCTTCCTTATTATCCAGGGCATTAGCAATTCTCTCTGCTTTGATTCTCCCTGGCTGCTTGCGCTGGTGGGTTTTTCTTGGCTTTGCAGCTGGTCTCTTGCTCGTTCTAAAGTAGAACAGAAAACAGGGGTCAGCTTTCCTGCAGATCTGAGGAGACACACGACCTGGATAACACTTTTTATGTCAGTGCACCACCTAACTCCACCATTCCCACCATGCAAATTGCATTTAAAACAACAATCCAAATGCAGCATGATTTATTAAAGTTTAGCAATCCATAAACTTAGTATTCTTTGGTATATACAAGCATACAGAACCCCTTGAATTCATATGAAGAACGAGTTCTGCCCAAGTCAGGCAGATATAAACAAAGAAACTTTATAAGCCACCTCAGTTTCAGATGTCCTCACATTCCAGAAGCTCCTGGTGCTACCAAGTCTCATTTGACAAGTATGTGAGACACTGCATTACATTTCCACCCTAGAGACTGTCCCTCCAGCTTAGCCAGCAGATCAGCTGTCCCAGTACACAGTCTCCATGCTGGAGAACTCCAGCCCCACAGGATGACCCAAGAACAGCTAGAACTGCAGATCCTGAGAACAGAGACCTAGTTAGTTACACCATCATCAATCATTTTGCAAACTGAACACAAGAATTTCACCTTTGAGGGGCCTCTGCAGGGGCAGCAGCTCTCCAGGTCGTCAAGGACCCAACGATGTTCTGAGAGACCGCGTGGGTCTGTGCACCCTCTGCTTCACCATCGCTTTCACCTGAGAAGGGGGACAAGTGTCAGCTCATCCATATACACATATAAAGAACACCTCAAATTAAAACCATGTGAGACCTTGCAGACAACAGTTTATGAAGACGGTCCCAGAGAAGCCAGACAGAGGCCTTTCCATTTTGCCAGTGAAAAGCAGGTAAAATTAAATTCCCTGCCCTCCATACTATGCCAGCTTACTCTTTGCTACTCCTTGTGATGTGAAGACAGAGAGAACATCAGGTTTTGTATAAGCAGGGCTGCTCTGTGAGACCTTTGCCACATTTTCTGCAGGAGGGATATTCTCCATATTGGCTTTTTGGTCTGTAAGGAGAAGAAGATGTTCACTATACATAGTATGTTAGGAATTTTTAACAATACATCAGAATATCATTATGAGGTTAATGAAGTCACCTGTCAAGTTACAGACATTAAAGTTTAAATTAAAAAAAACCCAAAAGAACAAAAAAAACCACCTCAAACCCCCATGCATGATGGATGATGCAGCTAAAAACATGAATAACCAATTGGCACAGAAGCCACACCCAAACCAAGGATAACACTGAGGCCTTATCCAATGAGAAAGCAAATCAAGGAGTTGGAAGCAACTTACCAAACCAGGAGTCTGTGTTGTGTACATCAGCATCATCCTCACTCAGAGTTGCAAAGTTGATGCAGGTGTTTGGGACGTCAAAGGAATAGCGGGATTCTGATCTAGCCATCTTTGCTGTCACACTGTCCCCACGAGTCCTCTGCCTGCACCACTACAGTTCTTTAGACAACAACAGTGTCAGTGGAATCATCCCCCATCTCTCTTCCTCCTCAGGCTTTCTAGGGAGAGGCACTGGGACAGTCTTTGGTACAACTCCCTTTCTTGCACTTCACACCTTTGGGTAGAATGCCTTTTGAGCAATACAGGGGTTTATTCTACTGCTGATTGGCAAAGCTAAGGAGACCTCACCCACTGTTGACATTTGCAGGTTCAAAACTATCAGGAAGATCAAGTTTTGAGGGTTTTCTTTGTACCTGTAGGTGCTAGAATTGTATTTTTAAGACAAAGTAAAGTCTTTTCCAGAGAGCAACTGATTTGCATTTCCTTCCCTCACCACTGCACAGAGTTCTTACCCTTACAAGATTTACAAAACTGATGAGCTTCACTCCAGAGCACTGCAAAGCACAGCCTTTCTCCCTCTGAAGAGCTACAAACAAGAACTAATGACACAAAGGTGCTCTTCTAGAGAGTAAATTGATTTTCAAAGCAGGAGAATGGCTCTGTAGAGCATTGTTACCGGGCAAAAAGTCAGAAGGAGGGCAGTGTCAGGCCCTCCTGCATTCCACAGCACTAGCCCAAGGCTGGCCAGGCTATAAACAAACCGAGCACTGTGACCACGTCAAACAGTCCCTGCAGTTAATTAATGGAGCACTGACAGCAAGAGGAGTCCCTGTGTCAACAGGTGATATTAAACTCAACGGAACAGGAACAAAGCCAGCGACAATGAAATTACATCAAAACCTTTTTGCAAAGGTGCTTTCGCGGTGCCTCGCACAGCTGCGAGGCAAAGCCCACGAGGATGTTATAAAACCCTCCCCGAGGAAATCACCTGAACTTTGCTTTTATGAGCCCAAGCAACTCCAAAGCAGCATATTCCTAATCCACGCAGCCTCAGCCCTAAACCATCTGTCTAGGCAGACCACACATGGTTCAACCCAGATGGTGTGTGCTCCATAAATAAGGAAATGCAGTGTTTAGGGGGTACCACGGCTGGTCACAACCTGAGGATGGCTGCACTGAGAAACCTTCAGCTCCCCTGAGCAGAACCGTGATAGTCAAAGGGAAGAATGTCACTAGAGAAGCAGCAGCTACACGGCTGTGAAGATGTCAAGGTAGGGCCCAAAGAAGGCAAACAGAAGAATCAGAGCCAAAACCAACTGTAACTGAGCTGGAGACATGGCTGGAATCAAATGCTTTCCTACTGCCCTTAATCAAGATAGAGTTTCTGTCAACACGTTCCACTTTTTTTAAAAATCAAATGCGTCATCTGCATTCTCCCCTCACCCTCCCCAGTCAGTTCACCAAGTCAGAGCTCTGGGCATCATGTTTCACAGCTACTTGTGCCCATTGCTACACTGCTGTGGTTCCCAGCTTTTTACTGTGTAAGGTCCTTATTCTCCCATAGTGTCAGCACTCTCATCACTGACCTCATCGCTGACCCCTTCTCTCTTCCCTTCCCTCCATCCCAGACGGAAGAGAATAGTCAGGAAAAGAAAGGGATTGTATCAATGCCTCAGGTTCATACTCCAAGGTTTTTGAAATAGACAACGAGGAGGTAAAAGTTATTGTGACTCCAGAGAGTCCATTTCAGTCAGATGAAGTCATGGTATCCACTTTTCAAATCCCTAGGTATCCTCCGAGTCCTGCCCAGCACAGGATTGACAGTGAAGCAGCAGTTCACTGAAAGGCATCTCCCTCCTCCACCCACCGACTCAGCCCCCATCAGCCAGGAATGTTCCAGTGATTTATCACTCCAATGTGCCACCTCAAGGCTCCTGCAATCCCCACAGGCTCGGTTGGGCACAGCCCAACCCCCGCTGCCCACTCCCTGCGGGCATTTTAAAACACCTGGGCAGGATTCTGACACCACAACCACATTGATCTCAATCCAAAATTCTTTCTCTCTACTGTGGCACTCATCCACCTGAAGTGCGCTCAGGAAATTTCTTCTCATTAATAGGGCCATTCCCCTAATTAGCAGGCACTGTGTGCATTTCCCTGAGCGTGACTGCAGGCACGCTGTAACCCTACACAGCTCCAGCGTGGATTTAAAGCCTGACCCTGCTCTCCCCCACATCCATCACCTCCTGTGTCGACATAGGTGTCCCCAGCCAGCTGGGGAACCCTCACCCCTGTTCTGCAGGATCAGCTTTCACCTGGTTCACGGAGCTGCTGGGGCAGGAAAAGAGGATCTGTTCTTCTCACTTTCAAAACCACCTCAAATTCCTTTTATAAAGCAACTACCTCATTAAAACCTTAATTTTCTTTCTAGGTCTGCTCTCTCACTGAGCTAAACGTGCCTCCAGAGCAGCATAGCCATATCCACACAGAGGAATAGGCAGTGGGTTCCTCTGGATGTCAGGTTTCTTTTGAGTAACTACACTTTGGCACGTTCCAGAAGAGTGCCTTGGCATGGTTTAGATTAGTTAGCTTTGAAAAAGGATTAAGTTAAATTGGAACAAGCATTCCTATCCCAGAATAAGACTGATCCAACAGCAAGCACAGTAGGTATTCTGGAATAACTTCACACCTCACTCTAATCCAAATTAGCTTTAAAATACCGACACGATTCCATCACAGATGTGATCAGTATCTTTTTCTCAGTGTAGTCGTGAATTTTGTGCCAAAAGCAGGAACAGCAGACCCTGCCTGGACAAAGGACCTCCCAGCTGTGCAGGACATTGTGTCAGAGAAAGGATGCAGCATTCCAAGATGAGAAATTGAGGTCAGAAGCAGAGAGAACAGAGGAGTCTGAGTTTGGGGGAGTAGCAATGGCCAGACAGGCTATTGACAGGGATATTAGTGAGAAAGCCTTCCCTGTGAGGGTAGTGAGGCACAGATTACCCAAAGCTGTGGCTGCCTCATCTCTGCAAGTGTTCAAGGCCAGCTTGGACAGGGGTTGGAGCAACCTGGGATAGTGGAAGGTGACCCTGCCCATGGCAGGGGGGTGGAACAAGATGAGCCTTAAGGACCCTTCCAACCCAAACCAGTCTGGATTCTGAGGAGGGCACAGAGAGGGCACTTTCCTGCCACCTCACAGTGCAATTAGATAAATCACCTGGGGATGACACCTCATCACAACACAGCAGTGGAGCTTCACAAGCTACAGATGTTACTTATGGCAAATCCCAACAGGATCAGAAAGCAGAAAGAAAATACGAGCAGACACAAACAGGATATTCCAAATTATTTCAGCAGATAAGTGCAAAACCAGTCGATCCACATGCCTCAAAACCCAAGATGGGCAACCAGGAACAAGCAACAGAAGCTTCCCCAAGGCTGAGGCAGCTGCACAGCAACATGCTGAGGCAATTCCAGTGCCTTCTGCTGGGCTCCAACACCAGCTGCTGCTTCAACGCAGGACACTGCACTAACCAGGTAGCTTCTTTATTGTCCTTGAACCCTGAGCTTTCCATCACTTTTTAAGGGATAATAACACATACAAAGCTCCCGGATGCTTTTCAGTGGTTAATGTGTAAATTGGACCATCAGAAAGGGCTGGAAATTGCCTCTCTGTAGCTATAGTCCCATCACCACAGCCTGGTAGGAGCCATCCCACCCACCACCTGAACTGCTTCCATATGATGCCAGAAGCTTTGGAAAGTCATCCTTCATCCTTGCTTTTCCCTGAGCAGGGTGAACACTTCTAACACACTCTGGATCTACAGCTTCTCCCTCCTCTCTAGTGCCCCCCACTCAGCGTTCAGCTGTGCTTCTCTGTGGCAAAGAATCAACACTGGATTCACCACCCCGGGTACAGAACTGCGGCAACGCCCAAATTAGGAGACAAAGCCTTTATCTCTCCCCAGCTGAGAGCGGAGCCCGGAGGGAGCTCCGGGTACCACCCCAACTCACAGCGAAAGGAGAGGCGAGGTGCTGGCACAGCCTTCGCCGCCGTACTAACGGCCCGGACCCGCCGTCGCCCCCAAAAATAAACAGCCCTGACAGCTCGAGCTCCCTAAATGAGATCCCACAAGTTTCAGAAGACACGAAGACGGGGCCGTCTAAGAATAGCAGTTCAAGGAAAAGTAAATTATTTTTAGCCAGTATAACCTCACCTTATTGTTAGATTAAGTTGAAGGTCTTCTAGCTTTAAAAAAGCACCGCACAAAAATAGCTCCCTTAATGCTTTTTCTGTTACTTGAGCCCGGCTTCGCCTGATTAGCTTCCCTTCTTTTCCTGTAAAGCAGAATTTTGCCTGAGAAGAAGTAACAGAGTGAAGTTGTGAAATACACCTTTCCATCAGATTTTGCGATATTTTTAAGGACTCGGAACTTCACTTCTGAGGAACCCACCCAAGCCCAAGGCTTGTTCCAGCACCGCGCTGCCACAGGGAGAGCGAGAACCCTCCAGCTCGGCCCCTTCGCGACAGCGGTTTCGGCCACGGGCTGAGCGGCCCGAGCCACCTCCCACCTCCCCTTACAAGGTCGCGCCTTCGGCCCCGTTACCGATACATGGGCTCGGGGCAGCGCCGCGTCCTCACAACCAGAGCAGATCTGGAGAAGAAGTGCCAAGGCCGGAGTTGGGGAGTTTTCGACCCAGGCCCCCTCACTCACCCCAACGCCGCCGCCCCGCGCGGCGCCGCCGTTAACGGATTTCAAACAGGGCCCGCCCAAACCCACCAATCAGCGCCCGCGGTGCGCCCCCGCCGCGAGCCAATTTGCTGGACCCATCAGAGGACCCGGATGAGACAACCAGGGCGGTGGAGTTGGGCGATCGCAAAGGCCTATGGGAAATGTAGTGCTCATACCAACCACGACACCGAAGGACGGCGAGCTGCGAACCACAACTCCCATAACGCACTGCGGGGTGCGCTGGGCCAATTAGGCGATGTGGTGTTTTGAGTGACAATCGGGATGCCCTATCAGCGGCCAGTGGGCGGGTCCCGGGGCCGGTGCCAGCAGGCCCGGGCAAGAGCTAACCGCAGCCAGGCCTTGGTACGACGGCTGTGCTAGTGTTCGCTGCCCGGCTTTCACCCGTTGTTCCTCACCAAATCAACCCCTCTGACCCCTGGGCACGGGGAATGCGGCTTCCACCGCCTGGTGACCCAGATTCCCGATGCTGCCGGGGTAAAGTGCCTCTATGCACAGCGGCGTTATCGACCCGAATCATACGTAAAGCTCCCCATGGCACTTGGAGAAGGATGGGCAGCCGGCTGCTAAGGGCAGGGCCGGCCCTGGATGCCACAGCCGCTTGCACTGCTCGCATCAGCCTCCTCTTACAGCCCCGCCGCGGGCTCCTGGAGCACTGTGGAGACACAGGACACCCAGGCTAAGCCCGGACTGCAGTGAGGAGCCGGGGGCCGTGCCCGCAGGCGGTTCCGAGCCCGCAGAGCTCCAGGGGCACCGGGCCTGGAGCTGCGCCCTGCGCGCCCGGCAGGGGACGCTGCACCCCCGCCCTGCACCCGACACCTCCGCGCCTGCGCACTGTGCCCGCCGGCCCCGCGCGTGCGCCCCGCGCCCCCGCGCCGTCCAACCGACGCTCCCCGCCCAGCCTCGCGGCACCGTGCGCATGCGCACCGCACCCTCTCCCGCCCCCTCCCACACTGCCGCACCCCCCCGGCCGCTCGGCGGGCGATGCGGAAGGAGCCCCGAGATTGCTGAACTGGGCCGAGGCCCGGCGGGGCTCCTGGCGACCCCCGCGGCGTCGCTGCCAGCCGGGCCCGCGGGGCAGGGCTGGGAAGGACGGGGACCCTCCGCCGGCCGCTGAGGTAAGGGGCGGGGTAGGGCAGGCCGTGAGTGACGGGCGGCTCAGCCAACGGGGAGGGCGCGCTACCGGGGCCCCGCCCCTGCGGGGGCTCTCGCCAGCGATGATTGGCTGGCGGGCCGTGCGCCGTGTCGGGCCTCGTGCGCGGGCCCCGCCCCCCGGGTACGGCGGCCGGGGGGGGGCGCCCGGGGCCGGCCCGGGGCCCGGGGGGGGGGCGGCCCGGGGGCTTTGAGGGGTGGCCCGGCAGTGGTGGGGCCCGTTCGGTGGCCTGGGGGTCCGGCTCCCCACTGCGGCGCCCCCGCCCGCCGCTGCCCGGCGTGTCACCGTCCCGGTGGCCGCGCGCTGCTGGCGGTGACTGGGATCGCTCCCGTAAGGGCACACGGTCGGGCGGCGGCAGCCCCCAGGCGGGCCGTGCCTTGCGAGCCCCGCTGGCGAGCGCTCGCCCGCCGGTTTTCAGCGGTTTATCCCCTCCGCCCGCCAAGACCGAGGGGCGGTGAGGGCTGCGGTTACCATCAAAGCCGTGACCCTTGGGCTGCGCTGCCCGCCCGCTGCCGCCGCCGTTGGGCAACGTTGGGCCGGCGGAGGGGGCGGGGGCACCGGGCCCTTTAACGGGCGGGGCGGGGCGGGGGCGGGCAGGGGCGGTGCCGCCGCCGCGGCGCTCCGGGACTGGCGGAGCGCGGCCGGGCCGGCCCGCAGCTCCAGCACAACGAGAACCGCCTTCGCCCCGGCCCGGCCCGCTGCTGGCCTGCCAAGGCGCTGCCCGCACCCGGTGAGATCTGGGGGCTGCTCGGAGCTAGCCGGGGGGGGTGGCCCGGGACCTGGGGATGGTGTCCCGGGAGGGGGGTCTGACGGTGGGTTCTTCGATGCGGTGGCCCCCGGAGCCTCGGCGTAGAGCTGCGGGGGTGAGCTCGGTCTAAGGATAAGCTGTCGGTGGTAATGGCGCGGGCGCATCTAAGAGCTGTGGCATTAACCGTTTCGGTGCCTCTCTCCTCCTCTGTGCGAAGGTCAGATGTTGCCATCGGTCTCGAGGAAGAGGAGCATAGCCGGGACCTGCTAAGCGCTGATCTGCTTGTGCCCCGGACCATGGACTCATTGAGGGTGCCCCAGGTGTGAAAATGTCCAGCAGTAACCGGGAGTTGGTGATTGACTTTGTTTCCTACAAGCTCTCGCAGAAGGGGTACAGCTGGAGCCAGCTGGAGGAGGAGGATGATGAGAACAGGACTGACTTTGCGGCGGCGGGGGAGGACGAGATGGACGGCGTCCTCAACGGGAGCCCCTCCTGGCACGCGCCCGCCGCCGGCCACGTAGTGAACGGGGCCACCGTGCACCGGAGCAGCCTGGAAGTGCACGAGATCCGGCGGGCGGCCGACGTGAGGCAGGCGCTGAGGGAGGCGGGGGACGAGTTCGAGCTGAGGTACCGGCGGGCGTTCAGCGACCTCACCTCCCAGCTCCACATCACCCCCGGCACGGCCTACCAGAGCTTCGAGCAGGTGGTGAACGAACTGTTCCGCGACGGGGTGAACTGGGGCCGCATCGTGGCTTTCTTCTCCTTCGGGGGGGCCCTGTGCGTGGAGAGCGTTGACAAGGAGATGCGGGTACTGGTGAAGCGCATTGTGTCGTGGATGACCACGTACTTGACCGACCACCTAGATCCCTGGATCCAGGAGAATGGCGGATGGGTAAGAGCTCCTCTCTGCAGCGCTGGGGGGGGTGGCTGCCCGTGGCCTCCCTCGTTTCAGGCTGGCAGTGGGGCCGGTCAAACCGGAGCAATGTTTGTGCTGGTGCTTGTCCTGGCCCTTGCAGGGAGATAAAGGGGCGTGTGTGGCCTTTCCCTCTCTGTTCTTAACACTCTGTCCCAAGAGGGTCAGTCCACCACAATGACACAAGCAGTTTGTGCTCAGACGTGTCCTTCTCCCTGTTTCTTCTTCATTTCCCTGGATGTTATGTAAAAGACCTGTTTTCCTTTGGAAATCTAATGTTGTCCGAGCTTGTTCTTCAAGCAGAGCCCTTGCTCTGGTGGATATTCCTGGTGTCATTAACAGCAGGGAGTGGAGCTTCCTCCTCTCCAAGGCAGTGCTGTGGTGGACTGGCTGGTGGTTTCCCGAGGTAACAGCTACTTCTTCATTCTGGAGACAGCACTGTGCCTTGCTCATGGTGCAGTGAATCCCACAGCAGATCCCAGCGGGTGGGTGGGCTTCTGGGACTGTCTGAGCTGGTGTGGTGGGAGCCAGAGCTGAGGTGGGGGCAACCCCTGTGCTGAGGAGCTGCTAAACCTGCAGCTGCTTCTCCCTTGGCAGGGAGCAGTGCTCCCAGCTGCCCCAGCAGCAAACCCCGGGAGCTCTCAGTAGTGAGGTATTAACATGAATAAGCATTTCTTCAGGAAGCATTCTTGAAATGCCGGGTCCGGCTGTGCAGTGCAGCCTGGGACTGCCGGCGGGAGGTATATGACCTACAGATGTCTGAGTTTGCATTTGGCTTCTGCATCCCAGTGGTTCCCTGCTGGTGTAACCTTTACCAGTTCCCACTGGAAAGAGTTCATGCTGTCAGGCATCGGCATCTAAATGGTGGGGAATCGCCTCCTTGCTGGGAGCTGAGACCTCTTGGCCCCCTTCAGCTCACGGTCCATCAGCAGAGCCCCATATTTTGGGAAGGGGATGGGAGCCTTGGAGGCTCTCCCCAATTCCCTGTGCCTAGCCAGCAATGCTGGGGACCCTGGAGAAGAGGGGGAGCCGGTGCACCCAGGGAGAGGGAGCCAGTTCGTGAAGGGTGCAAGAATTCCAAGAATGTGGCCGCCCTGGGGCACTGCCTGGGTGGGGCTGCTCAGGCAAGGAGAGGAGCTTGGTTTCGATTAATAACCCAGGATCTGCTGACCATTTCATCTGGCTGTATCTGGCCCATTAGCTCTCTCATCCTGCAGATAACCCTGGCCAAATTCAGAGGTCCTTCCCCCTCCCTCTGGCCTTGGCTTTTAAAGCCACAGATTAGTCTTGGAATTGAGTGATCAAATTGAGGTTTCCAAGCTAGTGTGGCTGTTGCTGTTAGTGACGGATTGGGCTGTATCCTGGAGACCTAGGCGATAATGCAATCTGATTTTTTGTAAATGAACTCTCTGGGGGATTTAGATTAAATCACTGGTGGAAAATCACTGGTCCCTGCTTGCAGGGAATGAAATACCTCCTCCCTCTGTTCCCCACCCCCAACCATGACGATTCAGACTCTTCAATTTTTTTGTGTCTGTCTCTAAATTAATTGTTTGGAGCAAATATTTGTTCAACAGATTGCGGAAGGGTCAGGACTCCTCTCTATCTGACCCGCCCACCAGCTCTCGCTTTGAAAATCGCCGTTTCCCACTCAGGGGACAGCCTTGCTCTCTTGTTCTAACCTTGAACCAAGCTTCTAACTTCCCTCCCCTGGCTGTGCTGCTCTGCTGAGAGCTGAAGAGGAGCTGGGCAGGGTGATGAAGGCCAAAGTGGGGGGGATCCACCTCACCAGCCACCTAAAAAACAGGACCGGGCCTGCGGCTGCTGCCAGCCTGTTGCAAACCCCCACCAGTGCCTGTTTGAGGTCTCAGCCATAGTTTTCCCCCACGCTGAGGTTTTACCGTGTCCCTTCTCAGGGGCATCCATCCCAGTCCATGCCAAGGGACAGAGGCCATAAGAGCTCCCGGGTGCCTCATGTGTGGGGTGTGCTTGGGGATGCTTCGCTTCCCTTTGCTCTCGCGCGATTCCAGCTGCAGGGAGAAAGCCGCTGGCCCGCTGCCAGCTCTCCCTTGCAAGAGCAGTGCCACCCTCCTGCTCTGGCTGTGCTGGAGCCGTCCCTCTCCCGCCGCCCTGTTTGCACAGGGAATTCCGTTTGGTGCATCGGAGCTGTTAGAGCCTGTCCCATGCAA